CAATATTCAGGAAGGATCGGATTTAACTATTTTTACTTCTTTTTATACGCTATGTCAAGTGTTGTTTTTGCACCTAATATATCTTTGTCATAGCATATTACATGTGTTGCTTCTTTTAGACGGAAAATATATAACTTGGTCTTTTAAATTTTCTGGAAACACTACTTGGAATCTGCAAGCGCCTCAAAAATCAAAAGGGTGCCCATTTGTTAAGCATATAAAGCAATAAATACAAACTTTTCTACGACGCCCTAGTGTGTGGTTTTTACAGGTTGAACTCCTCGAAGTTCAGTGGCAATCATCAATACTAATAAATTGTCATTTTCCAGGTGTCTGGAAAGAAGCGTGGTCAGCTGTCTGCATCCTTAAAATGACGTTTAAATGCATCCCTATTATGTTGCACAACAACAGTTTATACAAAAGCAATTCTTACGTAATCAGTTTCAAACAAATGTGCCTTTTTTAGAATATCCGTTCACCAGCTTGCAACTACCCTGTAAACATGTTTCAATTCCTGTCTCCCTGTCCACGATTCCGACATTTTCATTCTGGTTCCTGTCCCTACGACATATGGTCACATAGACTTCTAATAAAAATATATCGTGACACCATGGCTTTCATCGAGACGACTTTATTGATTTTCATTTTATGCAGTGCAAGTGCAAGTTGCAGAAGCACAATGGCACATTACACTTAAAAAGAAGGCGAAGGACTACTACCGTGTCCTCCAATTTCATTTTCACTGGGGCAATACGAGTAAACGGGGATCGGAGCACACATCTGACAAAGCATGTTTCCCACTGGAGGTTTGTTTTTGTCTTTGTACAGCACACTTAACTTAGAGTTAGTTTTATGCATTCGTATATACCAAAATTGTGTTTACAGACACGCATTTTCACAAACAGTATAACGACCTGATGCAAGTTTAGTTTTGTATACTTGTTCTTTAAATAAAATTTATATATATTGCTGACAGAAGCGAAAATGCGTATTCCAGGATACAATTGAGAAGGTATGGTGATCACAGGAACCAAGAATTTAGTCTCCTGACGTTTCAGAATCATACAGGCTTCCATTGTTAAATGTGGTAGATGCATGAATTTTATTTTGTTCCCGAAATTGCCTTTACTTAGTATTTATGTCCGAAAACACTCATCTTCTCTTTCATTTCCAATATATATATATATATATATGAGAAGGTAAGGCGATATATATTGAATATAACTGCCAACAACTGTAAATACTGTGAGGCGCGGTACAATTGCCACCTCTGTTGACTGAAGCCTGTACGCTTTTGAATAGTCAGGACGATAAAACAATGGTTCTCGAGATCGCCTTATCTTCTCATATACATATATATGCAGAAAAGCACTACCCATAAAACTATGGGACACTCAAATGACCCTTTTTGCCTCAGTAGCCGTCGTCATCTAGTGATACTCACGTCAGTGATGCCGTTGAAATTGCTGCGACACTCGAGTTTCAAACTCGCGTCTCTCGGGTCAGAGGCAAACATCCTAAGCATTGAGCTACGAACTCGGAGTCTTGCTGGTATTAGACTAGGGATACACAATAGCTGATGAGCGTACACCGATCTGCTGGATGACACACTCGTCCATCAATGTTGGAATTAGAAATCTCACA